TGTTGTCTAAAATGTAGTTAACAGATTGTGTACAAACCCAGCTGTAACAGTTACATTTGCTAGGAAGCCTTTTTTCTATTAATTTGCCTGGTAATGTTCTCGAAATGTCAATTCAGTGTACAATCTAAGTATAATGTTGTTTCAGGCAGAAGCAAAAAAAGTGCACATTCTCATTTAACCTCTGCCACCTCCAGAGGGGTTGCTTTTAATTACTAGAGGCTAAAAGGCTGACCTTGGGTGACCCAAAGTGATTGGGATGGTGGTTTCCAAGATGTGTTCCGGTCAAATGGGACAAGGAGAAAAAGGAAAAGGAGGGGGTATGAGTGTTGTGGGGGGGGGGGGCACTGGGATTGAAAAGCACCATTTGCCAGGTCTCTCTCTCTTTTCTGTCTCTAACTAAGCTGTATTTCAGTGAGTCATTTAATGCTCAAGTGGACAAAGGTATTACCTCAGTCACTGGGGTGGATCAAACCCTTTCTCTGAGGCCCTCTCTCTGAGAAGCCCTACAAGAAAAGTGGCTTAGTATCATATTCTCAGCAGAGTCACACTGTCTGTTTTGAACACACACACACACATGCAAAAAAAAATAAAAAAAAATAAATTGTGCGGGGAAATGAGGTGAGACACAACCATGGAGTCAGTGAGGGTTTTGTGCGCCTTTTGCCTTCAGTCAGCAGCTACACAGGGGAATTGCTCTCTAGTGTGTGCAGGAGGGAGGGGGTTGTCTCTATGTAGAGGGGGATTTAGACCAGCGCTGTTCTGAAGAGAGGCTTTCTGTATTGCTGTGGCTTTGTTCTGTGACTGTCTTTTGTTCTTTTTTTTTCTGATATGGCAGAAATAGCACCATCCCCCAGGGAATGTAGGGGCAGTACCTACATGCTCAGAAGCAAGGGAGGGGAGGATGTGGCACTTTCTTGTTGAGTCAAGTCACCCAAAAAAGGGAACTTTTGTAAACTATATGATGTGTTTCTGGGAAATGATTATTTAAATAGTATTATTTTATTTAAAAAACAAGAAGCATGGTATGAAAATAATGCACTGTCTACATTTCAATTAATGGAACAAAAGAGCATCTAAACTTTTGGATCTCTGCAGCTTAAAAGCAATAGTTTTCATTTTAAGTGTCTTTTAGACTCTTAGAATTTTACAGTTATTTGTCATTATTTTTCTTATATTGTGTTGCTTTTTAAGTTTGTCGAGATAAGATTACAATTAATCTTCCATTCTTCAAAATAAATCCTGAGACACTCTTCTATACTTTGAAAGAAAACAGAACGAACATCAATTTATTTTCTTAATAAGGGGGGAAAAAGCAATGACAGCCAAAGCGTGCAATACAGCCTCCCCAGTTATTCTTCTGTAAGGGCAGATCACAAGGCAGTTTGGACTAGTGGTGTGAGCTGGAGGCATGAAGCCAATAGTTCCCAGTTCTGAATCCCTGCTTAGCCATTGACTTTCAGTATGACCCTCATTATAGACTTCACCTTCTGCTGCCTCAGCCCTTCACGATGGTGGAAAACAGGGGCTCACCCAGGACTGACTTCAGTCCCACTAGGGCTATGCAGCCTCAGAGCAGGGCGAACAATTAAGCAGAACTAGGAATGGCTTTGGTAAGTTAGGCAGATGTCCTGAATCTAGGGACTTAAACATGTGTCTGCCTTAACTGCTCATTTGAGCTACGCCTGTTTTAAAAGTGAAAGACGGACGACAGAGATAATGGCTGCCCGACTTCATTAGAGTGTGCAGCTCTAATTGTGAAAGCAGCCAGGTGCAGCCATATGTTCCCCTTGCTGCTTTTCCTGAGCTTCTTGTAGTGTGCATTTCTGTTGATGCAATAACCGTGCAGCACAGGCCATATCAGGTACAGCTGATTACTTTTGTTCCCATCTTCTAGTGTTATTTATGCATCTTTGGCAGCTCATAATAAATAGCGTATTACAACAGTGTTACTTCATCCTAAGAAGTGTCCTATTAATCAGTCCACACAAAAGCCAGACTTGGTGTCTCTAATTTGAAGTGAAGCTCACTTATGCTTTTTTCCGGAACAATAAAGTTATCCCCAGCAGAGGTCAAGGTTTTTGCCCATCTATTGCACTGTTAACAAACATCTGTCCAACAGACTGTGATCATTCTCTTAACCAGAGCCTCTTAAGTAGCCTAGAGCTACAAAGTGATGTTCTCCTACTTTGGACAGAACTATACAAGAAAAGAACACGTTCTACAAGGAAAATAAAAAAGATCTTATACTATTGCTAGTGTTTTACATCAACATAGTAGGGAAAGAAAGAAAATTGCACTATTATTCGTAACATTCACAAAACAAATGCAAGTCTGTTAGAAATAAGGGGAACTTCTCATATCTCTGTGGGAACCTAATCAGGCTCTCATTTCCAGTGCTGATGTATCTGTGCTCGCCCCAGGTCTCCAAGAAGAATGCCCCTTTTGTGTGTCACTAATGTGCAAGCGATAAAGTTTCTTATAGCAGACATACGTGTTTACATCACGAGATGTGTCTTTTGACAAAGTGCTTTGTTCTGCTCATGTCTCCATGGCAGAGGCTGAGCAGGTCGCCTAGCCAGTGTCATTTGAATGGTTCTTGAAAGGGGTCCTCGTGCTGGAGTTTGACTCCAGTATCCGTATTCCGAAATGGAAATCTTATTTTACCTTTAAGCAAATGCTAGAAATAGTCTTACCACAAAGTATGTAGCAAAATACAATACAATAAAACACCATTCATGTAATGTTCCTTGGTTTTCAAATGCTGTGTCCTTGAAGACGTAGAAAACAATAATGGTCAGAATACACAGATAGCAAGAATACATTTTAAATTGTAAGTTACGTGGTAGTAATTCAGAGTAGAATTGAAAGTCATAGCTTCCAATCCTGGTTGGGAAACCGCTGTTCTATTGTTCTGCAAATTATGTGATTGAAATTGTTTTAGTAAATTAATTAACTTTGCTTTATAGTGGGTACAAATGTAAGTTGCTTTGAATACAGTTGCGAGCCATTGTGACTGAAAAAAAAACATGCTTATGTCAAATCATTTAGTTTGAAATGTTTTTCTTTCAGAAGTATGAGTCCTTGTTTGTTGAATACTTGTTGATGGAACAAAGGATAGCAATATTTAATTTTTATCTTCAGTGCTTAATGCATTCATTATTCTGAACTTATTAGTGCCTTTTCCTTTTTGAACCCCCCATTCCCAAAATCCCAATAGTTACTCAACTCACTTTATTACTGCACTTTATGCCGTGGGCTGGGTGAAGTGAAGACTGCTCACTCATGTCTTGGGATGTCTTGTGTGTTCACCCTAGAGTGTAAGCCCACTGTGGGGCCTCACCTTGTGTGCTCATCTTTGGGTTGTTACTACTCTTGCTGGGAATGAGCAGGGTTTCTGGCTACATTTGTTTTTACATATAAATTAAAAACATTCCACGTTCAGTTCCTGAACAAAAAATCCTATCTTTTGTGACCTTTGGTTTTAAAAGAGGTGAGCGAGGGCATGTGTTCTGAAATACTGAAGGAGGAAACTCAGTATTGTTATTAGTGTACATTCCCTGTTATGGTCTGGAAGGCTGTCTTTTTAGCTTTCAGTCAGAGGAGGCAGCTTAGACAGATAGCCTGTTTTACTGGACTCGTGCTACTTGCTGAAGAAGACAAAAACAGATTTAAACCATTTTACTCATTTCAGATCAATAGCTGCCCAAGACAGAAAGAAGTATAGCTAACTACAGGAAGCCTCCCTCTCCTAGAGGAAAGAGCCTTTAGAAAAGCGCTATTGTACTTGACCCAGACTGTCAAAGAAAGCAGTAATTTATACTGCACAAAATAGGAAGAAAACTCTTAATTATGCACATTATTGTGCTTCAGTATCAAAACTATTATATAAAGACATTAGTCAGATAATGATAGGGCAAATGTACATTCATAATTTTAATCTTACTATTATACTAAAATCAGCACCCATGCTGCTTTTCAAAGTGTATTTGAGGTTTGGATTGCTCATGCAATATAAAATAATGCACTATGTTTTTGCTGGTTATTTTACATTTAAAAGGCTTTTAAGCTTCATCATTCACAGTAAAAAATTACAAACGTCTTTCTCCTTTTGCTCTCCATTTTCACTGTTTGCAACTTTCTCAATGACAGCAGATATGACATTTGCTTAAGAAAGTAGTGTATTTTCATTCTTTTATTGTTATTCAGTCAATGTGAAAATTTCAAGCCATCATGGTTTCCAGGAATTCAATAACCACATTTAATTATCACCATAATTTGTCCAAAAAGGCAACGTCTTAGGAGCAATCAGCTTGAGAGGCCTCAGTTTGCAAAGTATTATATTCCTCTCGGCTCAAATCTCTTTCGAACAAGCTTGGTACAGGATGTTTCACAGTCATAAGTAGTGTAAATATGCAAAAATAGTGAATAGCTAAATCTTTTATTTTTCAGAATGAATGATTGGCAGTCTGTTCTTAGCCAAGTCAATCAAGTGACATTGTTATGTGAATTACAGATCTCTAAGGGTTAGAAGAATTACCAGATCTTTTCCAAGAAAAATAACATATTTGCTATAGATGCTTTTGACTTTTGTCGACATCGTTTTATTTATATTTAATACCGTTTGCAGTGTTTGTCTAATTTTCTATTTATTTATATTGCATGCAATGGCAGTTTGGGTGACTATAATGTTGGTGCATATTACACTTTAAAAATCTAAGGAAGTTAACTTTTTTCTTTAGAGCAGCCTGATATAACAACAGTCCAAGTTCACTGTCTCAGTGGATTTCTGTGATAGGGCCAAATCCAGACTTCTTGTATGGAAGCCATCATGATGTGGTTTGAAGGCTTCAGTTGCTCCTGGACTCAAATGTGAATAAGCAGTAAAAGCTTATGACAGCTGTTTACTGCCAAAAAAAGAGATTAAAAGAAATGAAATGATAGATTTCAGTTGTGGAACGCTACATCAGTTGTGTCCAATCTTTGTGTTCTTTTTATTGCAGCAACTGTATGCAGCTCAGCTTGCCAGTATGCAGGTCTCACCTGGAGCTAAGATGCCCTCTCTCCCTCAGCCCCCCAACCCAACAGGTCCCATCTCACCCACAGGCCTCAAGGGGGAGAAAAGAGCCAACAGCCCTGTCACTCAAGTCAAGGTATTTGTTGACCTTAAAAATATTAAGTTAACCTTAAATGTTAGATTATTCTAAATTTTGAAATAAGTACAGTAGTTTAATTCAGTTCATTCCTTCTTACTGGTCTTGTATGGTTAGCGTGGGTTCTACCTGTAATTCAGTAGTCTTTTACAAGCAGGACACAGTACAGTAAAATACAATCTGCTTAAAGTCATGGTATCTCAGGGTGTGACGTGAACATGTTTCAGAGGCATCTGGACTTTATCTGTGCAGGTCTGTTAGCATTTTATTAATTATTTTTAGAAATCTTTGGATGTACTGTACCTAAACAGATATGTACAAAATGGGAAATGAAAGAGGCAGCTGGCTCATCTATACCGATCTATATGATCATTTTTTATTTTTCTCAAACAACTTTTCAAAAATTCCACGGCACACCCATTAATGTCTGATGGCACATCACTGTGCCACAGCTCACTGGTTGAGACATGGGGATCTAAACTGAACTCTACTAAGAGTTCGCTTGATCTCAAATTGATAGAATCAACTCTCTTTAACAGACAATGGGTGGATGATGTGCAGATCGCTCTTGAAGAATAGGTTCTTATGAACAAAAACACAGATCATAAACCACTTAACAGTAGGCATAAACTTCTAGAATTTTAAAATACAGAGTTGTCAAAATGTCAGATATTATTTGAGCTTGTTTTGTCATTTCCATTGCATGTTGAAGGTGTTCCAGTCTTCCCCCAGTTTCATCTGTTTTTTTTCATTTTTATCAAATCTACAGTTTATGCATTACTCCCAGGGGCTGGTACCAGCACTTGGTCCGGGAGTTGAGAAATGTGGCAATGAATTAATCCTCAAAGTAAAAAGGCCACAGCATGGAAGGACTTTATAGAAAGAAGACTATAGCCCATAATATTCTTTGTACTATAAATTATTGCAGATACTTGATTTCTGTGACAGATAAAATGAGTTTCTCATGTGGAAGCCATAATAGTGTGGTTTGAAGGCTTCACTCACTCTTGGAATTCAAATGTGAATATTCAATAAAATTATCTTTGTGCCTTTGAAAATTAAATTCTTCAGTTCTAATTAATCTGGCAGCTCTTAAGTGCCACATACATTAAACGCACCACACTAAAATTAAAACACACAGTTCTCTGCCTTGCTGTTCAAATTGTGTTTGCTCTTTGTATAATAATTGCCTTTTTCCAGTAACCTGTGTAATGGCTTACTGCCAATGTGCCAAATAAGCTTCATCAGTGCAGCCTTCAGACTTTTGGTGGACCTCAAAATGTGCTGACGCAAAATAATGTGGACTGACTCCTGCCCTGGCAGTTGTTGTGCTGATACACACGATAAAATCCCTGTGGAAACACCTGCTAGGTCTTGCTACAACATGGTGTACCAGGGCTGTGTAATTGGCTGTAGGGGAAAAATAAAAGTACAGTTCTTGAAAACAGATTTAAAGCTCTAATTGAAAAAAATCTAATTACATTTCTTGTGTAAAAGCAAATTAATGGATATGTAGTGATCACATATATACGTGTACAGTACACATATACATACAATTAAGAACAGTTTCGTAGCTTTCAGTTATCTCGTGGAAGAGATGAGATCAATTCCTTGGCCCTATACAATGTCTTGTATTAGGAATTTGTCTTTTCGCATACCCCAACTTGCTCTCCATGAGACACACAGACAGGGAGAGAAGCTTGGGGTCAGAGCACAGGGTCAGCCATTTATATGGCACCCCTGGAGCAGCTGGGGTTAAGGGCCTTGCTCAGGGGCCCAACGGAGTAGGATTCCTCTGCTGGCCACGAACCGTCAACCTTACAGCCACAGGCGCAGATCCTGAGCCACAGAGCCACCGCGCCGAAGTGTCCATTGCTGTCTAATGTTCTTGTTCTCTTCATGTTCATTTGTTGATAAATATCTGTTGAAATGGGAAAGGTGTCTCTCAATTCTGAAAAACCTTTCCTAGCAGATCTTTGTTTTGAATTGTGAAAATACACACTAAATTGGAGCTACAGTATGTTGCTTAAGATTATTTGTATAAATGTGATGGGGGGTAATTTAAATAGTTCTTTGGCAGCTTTATTTTTTTGTGGAATATTTTTCTTTATTTTCTTGAAATTAGGAAAAAATTAATTTAAGCTAAACATGTAAAAGAGCTACATTCTTATTAGTTACATCTACAAATATGGCTGTGCTGCTGAGATGCTACTGTGCCCATATGGCGAGTTTAAGACTGTACTGTATATACAGTATATGGTGTATTTTGAATGAGTATAGGGAAACTGAATTTTATTTAAAACACATGTAATCATTGTCTAGATAAAAATGTTTTAAAATGCAAATGTTCAAATAACAGCTTCCAATATGTCTGTAGTGTGACTAACATTTTAAAAAAAATAATTGAATGTGTGCTTCTGTCATGAAGCTAATTTCTTCAGCTGGACTGCAGGTGATTTGGACAAACAATACTCACCTGCTGGTTGCAGTCATGAAACCCTTGGGGATGTTACAGTTCATATCTCATTAGGCTCAATAATGCTTTATTGCATTATAGTGTACAAAGTTCTGATGAGCTGCCACAAATCAGTGAAGCAGAAATAAACCTCACAAAACCTTTTGCTGAATGGCTAAAAGATTTTCCCTGGTCTAATAGGCCACTACATCTGAAATTATTCCATAGACTGACATCCACTCCAGTTGGCCAGCTTAACCAATTTAGCCTGACTTTGCTAAAATTAACAGTATTCTCCCAAGCTTGATGTTTGGGAATTTCTGGGAATCATTTTCTTTCTGTAAAACAAAGAAAGAGCTAATATTAATGATAACCATAAAGCTTACTTTTCACTGTTTGTGTCAAACCACTATTGTTTTATTTCCAAGATCACGTGTCATTAAGGTTGCATTAACTTGCAATAATTGCTTTGGAGATTTGAATGAATTGGCAACATACTGTACAGTACATTACTATCGGTACATTTATTCTCAGTCACAATGTCATAATTTGTGAAGGGGATCTGCTGCATATGGTCCTTTATTTAAAAAAAAATAGTTATTTAAACATTATAAATGTGCTCTGGGGGATATAGGGGGGGATAACACTTCCTTTTAATTGTCATTTTTCACTTCCGGCTCCACTATTAGCGCACCAAGGCCATTAGCCACAGAAGTGTTTCAGATCTTGCCCGTTTGAATTGTCCTCTTAGACGAGGCTGATGCAAAACCTATTGAACTGTTTTTTGTCAAAGATATACTATATATTTCTAGGCAATTTCTAAGCAATATACAGAATTCTCCTTGATCTGTATCTATGTATACTACATTACCATGGAAATAAAGGACTTTACTTAATATGGTATTTTAAGAATAAACATATTTGTTTGTATGAAGCTGAGAAAAAAAATATTCCATTCTCACAGTTTTTTTCAAACCCTTCCTGTCGCTCGATAGAGTACTCAAAATCTGTAGTGGACCATACTGCTGCAGCTCAGCCATTCTGGAAACGATATTCCTTTGCAGTGTGTGTGAAATGCAGATTGTCTTGTTTATCTCAGAAAGGTCCCTAATGATGTTATTAGTTATTAGTCACAGAATGTGGAAACAAACTTGATTTGAAAATGCTTTAGGTTACCTGCAAACAGACTTGAGGAAAGCAGATTAAGTTGAACTGGTTCCTGCTTTAATTTGGAAAAACAAAAGAACACGACTACTCTGTCGATATAGATAATGGTGTGATGCTGGAAATTAATGAAGCCTCCTTCAGCTAAATATTCGAAGAGTTGCCTAATTAGCCTCTTTTTATTATTGCCAGGGAGCATTGTCTTGGATGTTAATATGCTGTAACAGGATCTTGCTATGTGATAATTTGCTGCATTAACATTTCTCCTTTTATTAACATTTGTGCCCTGCAGGATGAGGGAACACAGCCGCTCAATCTCTCAGCCCGGCCCAAGACAGCTGAACCTGTCAAGTCTCCAACGTCCCCCACGCACAGCATGTTCCCAGTGAGCAAAACCAGTCCCAGCAGCCTGCCTGCCAAGAGTGGTATCCCCAGCCCCCTTGGAGGAAATCTCGGGAGAGGCTCTTCTCTAGGTATGGGAATTCCAGAACCACCGATACACATGCCAGCCTGGCAGTATTTGCACCTGAGGATGCAGTAGCTGGGAGGCATTCATTTTTCAGAGGTCCTTATTTCTATGCAAATTGTTCTACAGGAAATGGGCAATTCTTTCATTAAGTTGAAGTTATATAAGCGCTTATTGAAATAAATGAGTGCATTGAGAAAAGTAGTAATAGCTTTGTTAGTTTTCTAATCACCTATAGTACCATGCTAAGCATCATTTATTTGATGTGTACTATATTGTAATAATATATTACATTTCACTAGCTTCTGTGTTGCTTGCAGAAATCACAGCATGCTGTTGCTGATCGTTCTCTAAAGTGTTGAAGGTTACACCTCAATCTCCCCAAAAATGAAGAGCTGCTTGATCAAAAACAGCTGTCACTCTCTGACATAAGTGAAGGTCAATTCATTCAAGAAATAATGTGGGTTTATGCACAAAAAGCAATCATATGCTCCATAACTGAGCATTGCAAAAAAAAAAATCATCAAGGATTTCAGGGTTTTTTCTGCTATTGTGTTTTGGAATGTCACGGTTATTTTGCCTCACACTGGTCAAAATACAAGCAAAAAAAAAAAACGTCATGAGAACACTTATTTACATTTATAGAATGACATTGTGTTTCTAGAAGCTAATTTCTAGATGTAATTTTATACTTCACCTACTGTCTATGCAGTTCTTTCAACATTATTTAGAGAAGCCTTAGAAAAAATTGCGTGCTCTAACAATGAGAAAAAAACTGTAGGAACAGCTTGACTAACATGTTAACATTGCACCTTACACTGTTGGGAGTTTAAAGTCTTTCTCTATTGTGTTTGTGACCAATGTCCTTACAGCAGAATGCATCTTGTACCCTTCATTTTGAAGTGAAAATAAATTAGTTTGAAAATATATATGTGACAAATTGTAGTGAGAAGTTAATGCAAATGAAATCTCCACCAAATCCCTGTGTAACAGCTGTAAAGATGGTGCAACAGATACTGTTTAATTCGCTTTTATTTTGAAGTGCCAGATTATTGTCTCATTCACACTGATCCTGTTTACTTAGCCACTGCTTTCTGTTATTAAGTGGAATTCAAAACCATTCATTACACTAGAACACTTTCATTTGGTTAAATGCATTATTTTCCTGTACCATTTAGAGTTAGGCTTTGAAAACAGTCATGCTATTTTCATTTTTCTGACAGCCACTCCACCTTACCTCTCTTTGATCTGCTAATTAGAAGAAAAGGGCAACATCGAGATTACTGGCTTGCAAAAAAAACAAACAAACTTTGCCGCACATTATCTGCAAGATGGCGGGTTTCTGTGTTATGCTGCTTTTACACTAAGGTTTCATTTTGTATGTACTATACCTCTGAAATACTTCACAAGGCATTAGTTTGTATGCTCTACAGTCTTTCGAGTGGAAGGCAGAATGCTAGTCCCGGCTCTCACGGGTCATGTAGAAATGTCTTGCCAGGATCTGGGATGGGGAGTAGATTCAGGGAAAGCTGCCTCCTGACTCTTAAGAGTTCTGCTTTCAGATATTCTGTCCAGCCTGAACTCCACCGCCCTGTTTGGAGACCAGGACGCTGTGATGAAAGCTATTCAGGAGGCCCGTAAGATGAGGGAGCAGATCCAGAGAGAGCAGCTGCAGCACCACCAGCAGGGGCTGGATGGGAAATTGGCCTCCCTGAACAACATGGGCCTGAACAATTGCAGAAATGACAAGGTAGGTTGACGGACCTACAGAGCGTACACACTTACACAGTGCAGACACATACCCGCATACCTAATCTGTCGCACCCTATGCAGAAGAGATACTCGTTCACTCCACTCTCCCATTCTCCGACCCAGCACAGAGCAGTAACACGCTTACATAACTGAAACACATTCAGTGGTGCACACAGTCCCATATTCCTGGTCTCCATTTAGGGCAGTGCAGTTCAGGCTAGATGGCATATCTGACAGCAGGACACACTGAGTCAGAAGACGTGGCACAGAGCAGAAACACATTGAACAACACGTTCACTGGTGCACACTGTCCCGAACTGCACAGAGCAACAACACATTGAGTGGTGCACACTGTCCCTCACTGTGGGATATATGTGTTTTAGTACAAAGTATTGTGCTGTTGTCTTTCCTAAAATTTCTCCATGATTCCTCCCATATGTAGGATTCTGTTTTTAGTGTTGCAAATTATAGCAGCCCATTTACATGCATTCTTGTTTCTATGCCTAAATAATTAAGAAAGACAAAAATGTGATCTCTTAAAGACAGTTAGTCTATTAATAGTATTCTTCAGTATTTAGTTCTATTCTTTAGAAGTCTTTATGTTAAAAATACTTATTGTGTGCATGAAAAGTTTAGATCCTCAGATGCCAATTTCTTATTGTTCTTTATTGACATGATAAATAATGAATTAATCCCACCATCTAGAAGTAAATAATTGAAATGCTGTGACTGTAATTCTAAACCTGGGTTTCCGTTAAACAAATTATTATATTACCACCTAACAATCCAGGAGAGACTCTGAACAGTAGTAATTACAGGTATTACAAGACAGGTGAAAATTAGTACTCTAAATGCTGAGATATTGCACTGAGTAAGCAGGTCCTGCCCCCTAGACCTAATCCATTTTAACCTTGTAATCTGTTTTGGCTCTTGTGTTCAATATTATTTTAAAACCTAAGTGAAGCACATTTTCTGAAGTACTCTTGTTTTAGAACATGGGGATATTTAATAATTCACTCACTGGTGAAAATAACCAAATGTATCTAAACCAGCCTCACACAGCATACTTTTCTCAAGCTTTTATACTGTAGGTCTTGGAATGGCCACTGAACAAAACGTAAACCACCAGGGAGTGTAAATTTAATAAAATATCTTTGCATACATTTTTGAGGATATAAGTTTCAGCCTAGTACAGGCCCTTACCCTTTTGTCCTGTAAGCAAAAAGAAATACCTTTTTATCATCGGATTTGTTTGTAATATTGTTCTTGTTTTATAAATGTCAAAAGAACCCATTTGACAAAATAGCTTCCTCCTTACAGCATAAAGCCATCCTTTGCATTAATTACAAAGAAGCTGCCCTTGTGTGTGTCTTTATCACAGGAAATGAAGAGAGCAGTTCCATTAGGTCCCTACCCTGTATGGGTTAACTATGATGTCTTTGCCCAGTTAACACACCAGAGTGTTTCCTTGATCTCCTGAATGGGGACAGGGCCTCTTTGTAAAAAGAGCACACATGCTCACAGGGATTCCCTTTAAAAATATCTTCAATCAATTAGTCAATCAAGAACTAAAAAATATACTGTCTTCCAAGCACTTGATGCCATATTGCCAGTTGGCTGTGTGGAGCATGCAGGAGCTGAAAGCTTACATTAATGAATATTTCATCACCTGATACCCAAAGCCAAAAGTAGGTCAATGTATATTAAAAAAGAACTACAACCATCATGTCATTTGTAATTTAGAATTAACAATAATCTTTAGGTTAGTTTTTCTAACCTGGAAAAGACTATCCAGAACCTACCTGAATGACATCTGATAGTTCATGTATTTACTAAAGTCTTGTGTTAAAGTTCAGAATCGGATAGTCTGGTATAAGTGTTTATTGGAAAGAAAGTTATTCTACATTTGTGTCACATTTATTTTATTTTAACACCTGAATAAAGTATAGTAGGTTACAGCAAGTCTTCACGGTTGTTATTACGTTGTCACATGATCAATTTTGCAGCATCACACCTTTGTGATTTCAGTATTGTCTTCCGAATTATGTCCTTTAACCTGTATGAATTTATGAATCTGTCTCTTTTTTCTGACTTGTCTAGACTATAAAAAAGAACTCCTGTTCCCAAGGTCAACTTCATAAAAATTATTACCAAATAAATAATTTTGGTTAAAGGCTTGAACCAATCATATCTAATTGTATTTTTATAGATTCAGTAGCAGAATTAACTAGTCAAGCTACTCTCCGAAAATGTCTATATTTGTAATATCTGTATCTGTAACGTTTGTTGTAGTTATTGTTTTAACAAAGAGTACATCTATCTTGTTGTAAATTTTACAGGCACTTCTTATTGTCCTTTCCTTGTCTTTTGCAGATTAGCCTCATAGTACTTGTTGGTACTGTATGTCTTTGCATATCTGGAGTAACACTGCCCCCCTTTACAAAACAAAGTGTGGACTGAAAAGCACTTCACCTCACCTCCTACCTGTTTAAATGTGATTAGCTATTAAATCTTTCAAAGCTGTGGGTGGGTTTGTGGTCAGCAAGGCATGAGAGAATATGCTGGGACATGACATGAATGTTGTTGTAAAACAATGAGTTAAGGGAGTGTTTCAAACAAGCAGAACACGCCTACATTTTTATTGTTGTTATCAGATAGTGCTCCATAGGAATTCTTTCTTGGTTTTGTTGTGTTTTTTAAACGGTGTGCATGTCTTGTCAGGGAGTGCTGAACCGCTCAATTTGGGCAAGCAGTACATGTTTTGTTTTTGGTTTAAACGTCTCTGGTGTTGATCTTTGATGTAGTAACACAAAAATTGTCTTGGAAGCTGGCTGTAAAAGCTCCTAGTGTTGACAGTGCTGAAGAACAAGAATAACAAATAATAATTAGGAACATGATCAGTTAGAAAGAACTTCACTGCTGTGTTTTGAAATTGCCTTAGGAATAATCTCCAGGAAAACTGTTATCCATGCCATGCCTTGTCTCATGTCAGTCATCTCTGGATATTTGCATCTCCTCATTTCAACTCACTTTCCAACTAGGAAAACATTATTTTGCCGCTTTGATAGTGTTAATCCCAGAAGAATGCAGTGAGGGCTGCATCTGTACTTCACTTGACTGCTTTAAATTCCAAGTACCTATGACAAGAGCAAAGAAATGTGGGGGAAGGGACAATGTTGTCTAATTGCAGGGGTTTCTGTTATTGTTATGAAATGGGAAACTCTTTTTGTTTTCCCATTTGATCTGTCTCACTAAGGATCCCCTGGGAAGGGAATCCCAAGTGTCTCACCCAAAAATGAGCCCTCACCTGGAGCACAGGGTAAGCCCTAAATCCTAGAATCACTAGTTTAGCCAAAGCTATGGCTTTAACCTTTTTTGAAAACCTGTACACTTGCAGCGTTGCCAGTGAGCGACCCATTATTGCTCCTTTAATTGCTGCTTAGTTTCCTTCAAGGCTCTCAGTGTGTCAAATGATGAATGTGACAAACAACTGTAACCCAAGGGCACATTACAAGAGCGTGTGCACAGGTCTTGATTAACCTCTTGGCAATGCAGAGCCAGCAAAAGCAAAATGAGTGTTTACAACTGACGGCGATTCCATGTTTGTAATAAAGGATCCCTACAGTATGTGAAAGATGTCTCTGAAATATAGCAGTGCAAGCTTATTCAATTCAACATTCCATGGGCATCTGTTTTGTCTCCACAACTCACTGCTGTAGCTCAAACAGATCTGGGCCACTGGCTGCATATTAACTTCACAGTGCACTTGATCAGTTCAAACAACTTAAGGTATTTGTTCCTACTGTAACTAAACATGAAGGAGCAATTTCACATCCCACGGTTAAATAATCAAAATAGTGTTATTGAAGCTTGTTTTATTCCTTGGTAAAGCATTGCCAAACAGATATGAGGACCAACTAGTCCTAAGGTTTCTTTCAGATCTCTTTATAGAGAATGAATGATAGGAGGATATGCTTATACTGTATAGTAATTAGGAGTAGCTGAGGCACCATATACAGTCAGATCTTGAGTTCCTCCTGCTCACACATCAATAACAGTGGCAATATTTCTTTAAACTGTAACACAATGTTCATTTTCACCTTTTCTATATTTATAATATTATATTACAAATGACCAACAATGACCAATAAAGAAAATAACACTTCTTTCAAATTATGGCTTTATGGTGTGGTTACAAGTGTTCGGATGCTGTTCTCGTGGTTTTCACTACTCATCACAAGAGTTTAGGTATCATTGTGTTGAAACATTAAAGAAGAAAATGCAATGACCATCAGCCTTGGTGACTTCCTGACAGGCTCAATGTTCAAGATAAGAGGCTACACTTTGATCAGTTTCAGAATATTGATATTTCTTCAAGAAACCACCTCACCTGACATCAATACAGCGTTCTTTAATAGCTACCACCGACTCTGCTGTTAGGAAGTTTATCACTGTGAAAGCTTACACGAAGGTTCTCCAAAGGTAACTTAAATGGGATTAAGGAGAGGTTAAAATCATCTACCAGGGCTGTTGGAGGGGATATTAAATATTGATTTATCTGAGCGTAATGACCGTGCCTGTGAGTGGGGCTAAGTGCTGCTTATAGATGGATCAATTCATCTTTTAATACAAAAGTACAGCACTGAAGCACAATGGACATGCCAGCACTTGAAATGCTAAAGTCCTTGGTTCCTTTTTCTGTGCTTTATCATTTATACCTTCTGATGTGGAAGTTTGTTTGCATTTAGACCTGGAGTATATTTTCAGTTCCTGTTTAAAATATGCCTTCTTTACCAGGATCTACTTCTCACAGTAAGCTTTCTGAAGAAGCAGAGAAACAGAATATAGGTGTGTGATGTCTTTCTATAGTTACAATTTTGAATTGTGCTTGATTGAAATATACAAAATAAACACTGAGCTGGAATAAAAACATTAGTGTTGGATATATAATGAGATATATTTTTCAGAACAGATGCATCAAAAATAATGAAAAAATAT